CATAAGTGGTCCGCAGGTGCGCATTCACTGTCAAAATAAAAAACGTGCACAAGATAAGAAGTTGCAACGCGTGTTTGCGTGCACATGCAGACTGGGGGCAAGCAATGAGCAAAGGAAATGCAGACGGTGGCACCCAGATATACTGTATTTTTATACTTGGCTATCACGACTCAACACCCACGACAGAATGCAAAAAAAAAAAAAAAGTCACACTGAATGCCTTCTCATTAGAAATGTCTTGCTTCATCAACTTCATTTCCAACAGTGAGAACTGATGCTTGTCTTGCAATATGAATCAAACAGATAATGTGAAAATTACTGTTTTAGTGCTCATGCACAAGAGACCGCTGTGTATCCATCTTACATGATTAGAACACTTGTCGGCCAGCCAAGCTGCACTCTCACTCTCTCTTGCAATATGGTTTTGAATTACTGCATGAATCATTTTAATCTATCGATAAATAGTTTTAGAGTACACAGGTGTCTAATAAACGCCATTGCTGCAAGCTGGCTTCAGTGGAGACTTACTGGGTGAAAATCCCACGAGGGAATACAGTTTCAAAAAGAAATGGGAATGATTCGTTTTTGTCTATGTATTGAATAAACACATTGGAACAACACTTTTTAATCACACTCTGCATTCAAGCTGCTGGAGGCGTTTTCAAAAACACCCGCAGTGATCTGACCAAAGATGCATATTGTTAAAAACAAAAGAGAGAGAATTCACTTGGACAGATTTGCCAAACAAGACATACAACTGCTAGCTACTTACACCGGCCTAAAGTTTGAGATACACAGACTTATTATAAACAGCCTCTGAAAAAACTGTCACTGTCACTAGAATACCACGATTGATGTACCAATACATTTAGCAGACGGTTGATATGCTCTGAGGAACCTACCCGTGATGAAGCGGTAAGCCTGAGAACAGTGCATTTGATCAGTGGACAAAGCAGGGATTTTTACAGCACAGGGAGTAAAGAAAATAAACATTTTACCTGAAAAAACAAACAAACAAAATAATCAAAAATCTTTTGGATCCCCTAAAACTGGACACAAACAAAACAAAACCTCACTCTCAAAGTGCTCCAACCGAACATCAGCGTTATGTCTACCAGTCTCAACTTGAAATTCCTCAATCTCCTTTTTCCATTTGACCGCTCATCTCACTATAGCCCTAAATAAAGTGAAAGGAGCCGTTTAGCTCCCCCTCCTGAAATAAATGCCAAAGAGAAAAGAGTGAGAGCACAGACGCAACCACTAGTATCAGTGGTGGTGACTGCACTCCTTGACGCCTGCTGCGGGTTCTCAGGTCGCATCGTCGTCTTCGTCATCCAGGTGATAATTGAGGGTGATGACGGCGCTGATGAATTCTCCAAGCTCCACAAAATCAGCTGTGATGATGTTAATACCGCTCTCCCCGGGTCTTTGAGATCTGATCCACTGCATCATACCTGGTAAAGCCCTGGGAGAAATGAAAAGAAAAATCATGTTAGTGGAAAGAGTGCAAGGGGAAAAAAATGATGTCAAAAAAAGGAAGAGAGGAAGGGATGATTCACAGTTGGTTAAACACAGAGAGGGGCGTGCTGAGATAAAAGATCCCTGTGATGCTGCATGTGATGTCTGCGAGCCAGACACCAGCTGCGTGAAGGACACTCTGAACATGCCGGACATGTTCACGTGAGCTGAGCAACAAAGAAGAGCAGCTTTCTGCATAAAAATTAAAAATAAAATCTACGCGTTGTCTCCTCGTTGTTTGCTTTCTTGTTATGCTGAGTCCAACGCTGGCAGTCTATGTGCAAAACGCTTGGATGGGATTCTGAAGGATGCCTACATCAAAGTAACTAAACGCCTGGTGAGAGAGGCTGATAGTGGAATTATCAAATGAATAATTCATGCCAGGAAAATTGATGCTTTTGCTGTTGATGCTTTTAACAAACTGGGGACATTAAGAGGGAATGAAACACAGACAAAGCTAAGAGTAAATTAATATAATTTTTAAAAAAGTTGTGTACCATAACTGGAAAGAGGAGACATAATGTGAGGAAAAATTGCCTCTGGTTTATGGCAGCTGTTCCAGACAAAAAAAAGATGAAAGAAAAACAATAACTCGAATTAGGCCAGTGTCAAATGCCTGGGGATACCTGTAGAAACCACCATGCCTTTGGTTGTAGTTACAAAATGCCACAATGACTCACATTTGACTCCTAAAGTGTGTATCTGTCAGGGTACACACGCTTGTGATTTTTTGTTGCGAGCTGTTATGGCTAAATCACTTCTGTGGGCTCTGGTGCCTGAGGTGTTTCCATAACTCTGGTCACAAAACTGAGCGTCTGTGTATGTGTGGAAGAAGACTGTGTGCCACCACTGGTGGTAACAATGCATTTTTTGCTAGGCCTAGCATAATAGCGATCATGAGCACAAAAACATGCACATAAATGAGCATGCACACCTTTCTGTAATTGTCTCTCTCAGTCCACTAGCCACACCCTTCATCACAGTGCTGGCTTTTGGTGTCAGAACCACCTGGGAGACAAAGAATGTCCCCTTCCTCCTGCAAGAGAAACGTTGAGGGTTTACATGTTATCTTTGCTGTAACTTTCTTCCTTTTTAATAGTCACCATAATATATTTGCTTTACAGAAGTGCTACTTCTTATATAATTCACTGCTTTACCTTTGAATTAATTACTTTGCATTTACTGCAATTAATCTTTTTAAAGCCTGCTTACTTGTAGCAGCATGCTGATGAAATCAGTAAGTTAAGCAAAGGAGCCAAAAGCAAGTCAAATTATTTGTACAGACCTCTAAGCACTGCAATATATCTACATCATGATAAAAAAAGATCCATTGTGTTTAATCCTTATGGCTCATTTGCAAAGTTACAAAACATAAAACCAAGTTAATGAAACATGGATCATTAATTAAAGTGATTAAAAAAATTTATGTGGGGAACACAACAGATTTTATCTGATTTCTTCCTCTGTGTAGCAGACACTGGATTCATGAATATGAAATGTACCTGCGGTCAGTGATAGATGCCTGCAGAAACTGAATCAGCTTCTCCGGGTCAGTGGTGTTGGCCCAGGGAGAAGGCATCATCTGGCCTGGCCACAGGAAGGGCACCTCCAGGGCCATGGGATGGTGGTAGAAGACAAGCACCTGGTACTCCTTCTCCCATAGATACTGAAGACTCACCTGAGTGAGGGAGGGAGGTGTTCATAGTAGCAAGAGGTTATAAACTGAGGAACATAAAACAACCTGAACAGGTAGCTGATTTATTGACAGCTTAGTTCTGAATTAATTCTGAATGAATGAATTTCTCTCAGAGTGATGCATCTTCAATATTTAGTACTGACTTATCACAGAAGGTGTCAGATGTGTTATTTTTGAAGTCAGTGGCTCAATAAAACACCAACAGAGAGCTGTAAGTGAACCAAACTACATATAAAATCTATTTTAAGTGAATTGCATTGACTCTAACGTGATGATACATTTCTGAAAGCATTTTTGCAGACGTAAAAACAGTGAGACTGTCTCCCACAAGTTGCATTCTTACAAATACATGCTTATGTGTATAGCTGGACATCAGCAGCACATTTTGTTGGCTACATCCGATGAAAGAAATGCTGGATAGCAATATTAATTAATCGTAAGCAACCGGTAACAGCAATGAGCTAGATGATCCTCAGGGAGTGTCAATTACAGCAAAAATACACCTTTTCATCACAATCCCAAGACGCATACACTTCACATCTTCTTTTCCAGCTGATTATTTGAGCTGATTTATTTTTTTGAAAAATGGGCTTGCAGCTGAATATTAGTTCTTAAAATAGACCAAACAAGTGCTGGAAAACAGTGCTGAAGTGGATTAACTTTGAATAGCAAAGCAAATGTGGGCTATAGAGATGACAAGGGAATGGCAGATAAACTTACAGTCTCAGGTCTCCGTCTACAAAATTAAACACTGAGGAGGAGCTCATTGTTTTCTCAGAACCTACTAGTCACTCTTGGCCTTTTTGCCCTCTTTTTCTTTCACTCAGCTGCTGCACCTGACAGGAAGGTGCTCATCTTAGAGTGGTGTCAGCGATTGTGGTAGTTCATGAATTGTAGGGCTAACTGGTACTGCTTATTTTAGGTTATTCGGTTACAGGGGAGGGTGGGAGATGAAGATGGGCCACAATTGGATGGGAAAAAAGACAAAAAAAAAAACCTGAAAAACCTTCAAAGAGCAAAGTCTCATCTTAGGGAGACTTTTCTACTTGTCTCCTAAGCAAATGGGCATGTTCTGAGTGAAAAAATGAACTATGATTAGAGATGTAATAACCATAATTCTACATCGGTACTGATCAAAACACAAAATCACTGTTGTACGGTGCTGAGAAAACAATAATTGCTTGAGGTCTTTTGAACTCAGCTAAATAAGATGTTCTTGGTAAGACGAAAGAAGCATCAGAAAAATGTTCTGCTGCTCCTACTTCACGTACCCCTCCTCCTCCCTGTTAAAAGTTAAGTGTATTTATACCTCCTGAGCAAAAACAACAGGGCAGAGCTTCTCTCCAAACACCTCCTTTAGCATGGTCACCAGTTTTTCATGGTGCAGGTTCTGCATGCCGTAGAAGTGGTTGAAATCCAGGAAGACCACCTCTCTGGCATGAGCTGACAGAAAACTGCTGATCTGCTCTAGGCCTTCTCTGACCTAAAAAAAAAAGAAAAAAAAAAAAAGAAAAATATGCACATTATTAAAATCTTTAGTGATGATATTAAATGTAGACATACAGACTGTGAACTGTGTACTTCAAATCTCTGAAGGACCTTGTATAATTAGGCTCTCAGTCTACACTCAAATATAAATATGTTGCCACACACACAGAGATGGTTAGACATCACTTAGCAACCACAAGCATTGCTAAACAGTCATCACATCAAAAACCATCAAAACTCTACTCTTTTCTAACCGTGGCACTGAAGAGCCCGTGGGCGAAGTACAGCTCATTTTCAGGGTCACGGGGCTTGGTGGAGATGCGCAGGTCAAAGAACCGGATCCCAGCCTCCAGTTGGCTCGTGAAGTTCATAGTCTGTGTAGCCAACCACTTCCTCATTAGCTTCTTGGCCACCGTGCCAAAAACAGAAACGAAGTTCTGCACCGTCTCTGGCTGCTCGGGGCCCACTGGAGACGCCTCATCGATGTAAAAACTGAAGGAATCGTGGGATCCTGGGGGAAACACAAACATGAGTCTGCATACTGACTACTGCAGGTGTCGTTTCTGGTGGGAGACGACTGAAAGTTGAGGTCATTACTGAGAAATAGCCCAAAACCAAGGTAACAAAACTAACTACACGAAAAACAGCATCCAAGGTTGCAAATCATGAACTCGGACAGCTTGAAGAAGAAAGCCTGTGCACACCTTTTTTTTTCCTTCACATTACTCAGGCAGAACAAAATCCTCTGAGGTAAACACTGCAGTAAGTTTACAATTTCCTTATAAGGCATAGCTATTTTGCTAGTTTTGCACTTGTTGGTAGGTAATTCCTATTCTCTCCCTCTTTAAGTATTATTTGGCATGTACTCCTTGGTACAGTATGGTCCACATGCTAAATAAAGTATGCTAGCCTATAGATTCCCTCAGTTTGAGGCCAAACATTCATTCATCTTGGTGGGAGCAGCCTACCAAGAAACTGCTGCCCTAGCATGAAAAATGACTTAAATTGGGGGAAATTCATGTAACCATTAAGTACTACAATACTCAATACAAACGGCTATGACTTAGTAATGTTTTTTATATACATTATGGAGATAGAACCCCGGAGAGAACCCAGGAAGAAAGAGAAAGAGGAAGACATGCCTTATATGCCCTAAGGGCACCTTCAAACTCAGGCATCTGCATGCTGTACAGCACACCGATCACTTGCTCAACCCAGTGAGTTATACCAGCACCCCTTACTGCTGTTTTTATTATCAGTCTGTTCTACAAGCTTGAACTGGATAAGCAGGTGAAAAAATGGATAGTTGAATTGGATCTGTTGATTTTCTGCGTCATTGTTTGTCCATTGTTTGGAGATTGGTGAAACGTTGTTGGATAAGTTACTTTATTGTAGATATCTGCAGTGTTGGGGAGTAACGGAATACATGTACCGCCGTTACGTATTTAGAATACAAAATATG